GGTTAGTGACTTGCCCAAGGTCACACAGTGAGACCAAGAAGCTCAGACTTGGTCTTTGCCTAGAATCTTTCCTCAAAAGATGTATGGGGCGGTCCTACAGGAAAGGTGTCTGCAACATATTCATCTTGGTATTTCAACACCCACCACAACAGTGAGCAATAGTGGGTGCTCAGTAGATGCGGGTTGACTGAGCGCATGCACGCGGGTTGGCAAGCAGAGAAGTGTTTGCTGGGGGAACAGGAGGGTGCTCAGGAGTTAGCATGTCTTGCAAAAAAGACGGTTTGGGAGGAACAACATAAGCAAAGGTTTGGAGGTGAGAAAGGACAGGGAAAGCATCAGCGGTGTGAGCGGAGATGGTTAGTGAGGAGCCGTGAACCCCGGCCACAAGAAATGAGGATTTTGGGACTTGGTGGAGAAAAGAGTCTCTCTTAGCCAGGGGCTTCTGGTCTGGGCAAGAAATGAAGGGTGGAGGAGGCGGTCCTTTTGCTTGGGATGGCCAATAAAAAGCAAAGGAGGGGCACTGTCTGGGTAGGGGATGAGCTGATTGGCTGAGGCAGCTCCCACCCGGTGGCTGTTCCCTGGGAGGAGCACAGGGGTGGGAGGCCTCACCTGGAGGTACCAGTGCTTCACCAGCAGGATCAGGTTCTTCAGCTTGACCGGGCGAGAGTTCACGAAGTTCCTCCGCAGCTCTGAGAAGCAGGCCCTGTGCTCACCCTCCTGGCAGCCGCTGTTCAGGAGGGCGGAGTAGATCTGGGGGTCAGGTTTGGTGCCAGCGCTGAGCTGCCCTGTGGATGTTGGAAAGCTGCTGAGTAGGCGATTCTAATTGAAGACGGCAGCCACTCCCCAGCCTTTACTATTTTAACATGAATTATATAACATTACAATCAATAATACACGATCTAGAGCATAGACTAACAATCAGAACTTCTAGAAATGAAAAATAAAGTCACTGGGATTTTTAAACAATTAAGGTCAGGCAGCCGATTAGACACATTTGAAGAAAGTAAGCAAAAAATAAGTAATATGGATCTCAACACAGACCATTAGCTAGATCAAAAGGAGCTGTACAGAAGCCTGCATTCACCAATGGGAGACATGCATTCTTTTCCAACCGTAGGAAACTTAGGAAGTGCCAACGAATTCCAAAGAACTGATATTTTGGGGGGTATGTTTTCTGACTACAATTAAAAATAGAAAAAGATAACAGGAAATGCAGTCAATAATATTGTAATAACTATGCATGTTGTCAGATGGGTACTAGACGTATCAGGGTGATCACTTCATAAGGTATATAAATGTCTACATTGTACACCTGAAACTAATATAATATTGTATACTATTATATGTCAACTACAAGTGAAAAGTAAATTGGAAAAAAAAAATAGAGAAAAAACTAAATGCCCAAAGCTCACAAATGAACAAAACCCCAAAACATTAATTTGGAAACCCACTTCCAAATATTCATGGATGAAAGAAGAAATTGTAAGGTCATAATTGAAAGTACAAAATTCACAATAAAAATTATACACATAAAACATTTGTTAGGCAGCTAACATAGTACTTAGAAGAAAGTGGATAGCCTTAATTGCATTTATTAAGATTGACAATTCCTAAGCTAAGATTTAGCTCAAAAAGTTAGAAAAAATTAACCATAAAGTAAACCCTACAAAATAAGAAGGGGAATTACAACATGTAATTTCTTTAAAAAAAGAAAAAAAAAGAAAATCCCAAGTAGATATAGAGAATTGCGAACACTCGTTAAATCGTAATCAGAGTCCATGGGTGTGTGGTGTCTGTAGTTTTTTGTACGTTTGAAACATTTGATAATGAAAATTTAGTAAAGTTAAAGCACTAGATAGTCGTGAACTGATATGAGGAGGAGTCTGGGTGTCTCCTAGCAACTGCCAATGGTGCAGCGGGGAGTGAGGGCCACAGAGAGGACGGCAGGCACCCGTGAGATGTTCCCTAGTCCCTCCCAGGCACCGGCCGCGCGTCCCTCACCCACGGCGTCAAAGACAGGCAGCAGGCTGACGTCCATGCAGCTTTTCAGGTCCTGGGACACTAGCTGGAACCGCAAAGCCTCGGGCACGGTCTGCTGCAGAAGCTTCAGGCTCAGGCCGGGGACCTGATCCTGCCACCAAGACTCCAGCTGGGCCCGCATATCACGGACGATCTCTGCACGCAGGGGCCCCTGGTCCCCGTAGTTCTCGAAGCAGTTGAGGAAGACAGCGAGTTGGGCATCAGAGCCACCCCTGAGGTCTGTGCCCCTGCCCAAGGAGCCCCCCTGCAGAGAAAGAACACCTCAGACTGGTGACTCTATCCGAGCCGGGGAGTCAGGCTGTGACCCCATCTGCAGCCCTGAAGCCACTTGTTCACTGATGCTGGGTCCTGGGGCACCGTGACAGGTGCAGGCTGTGACCCTCGGAAGCCTGGCAGAGTCAGATTATATTTGCCCACAGCTGCCTTCCAACCCACGAAGCCTGCGCCACGTCAGACAATATGCAGCAGGTAACAGGGGGGCTGGGGGGGGGCGGTCTAAGAGTTTAGCCAAACATCTGCAGCACCTACTGACTGCACATCTGGATCACAGGTTGCAAACCGGGGTCCTGGGGCCAATAGGGGTCTGCAGATGTACTTGGCCTGTTTCAATCCGTCGATCAATCCATTCATTTATGCATTCAACAGATATTTATTGAGCAATGGCATATACGGATATGCGAGTGGATAAAATTACTCGATCTCCTGACACTCATATTATATGGGGGGGGGGGAGGCAGGGACAGTCAGCAAACAATAGCCGCTCTATGTGGAGGCCAATAATAAGGGGACTGGGACATGGAACAGTGAAGCCTCCATGAGAAGGGGAATTGGGTCACAGACTTGAAGGAGGGGAGGGAGAGAGCCAAGTGGATGGGGAAGAACATTCTAGAAAGAGAGTGGGGATGTGTGCCTGGTGAGCTCAAGAAGCAGCCAGGGAGCCAGCATGGAGTAAGTGAAGGTCAGAGAGAGACCAGGGCCAGGTCCCACAGGCCTTGAGGCCGTTGTCCTCTGAAACCCTGGAGGCTTTTGTGCAGAGAAGGGAAGTGGTCTGATTATGGTGATAGTGATTAAAAAAGCTATCATTAAAAAAAAAGCAGGGGCCTCAAATATATACCTCCAGCCAGCAAACGACCCTCCACCATGTCCACTTCCTCTGCCGACCCTCAGCTGTGTCTCTGTGACTTCTTCCCATGCCCTCTGTGGTCCCCCCAGTAGGGTCCCATTGGTGTCACCGCCTGCCCGACTCACCTTGCTGACTCTCGAGGCCTTGTGAGCACAGTTCTCGCGGAGGCGGCCCAGGATGACATCGATGGCCTTGCTCACCTGCCTCTGGAACTGGGGGCTCGGCTTCAGGTGGTCTTGGATAAAGCGGTCCAGCTCCTTGGAGGGGACCCGAGACAGATCCGAGGCCCTCTCCAGTGTGCAGGGGGCGATGTGGTCCACCACTGAGGGGTGGGGAGCTGGACATAAGGGCTGCTTGTTCCCTGCCAGTGAGTGCCCAGCATCGGGAGTGCTGCTGTCCTTGGGGGTCTTCTGGGCAGGGTCTTGCAGGATGGGGTGGTCCAAACCTGAGGGCCCAGTGCATGGAAGGTCCTGGAAGTTTGTTGAAGGAGCTGTGTTACATATGCAAAGGTTCCTACGTTCCTTCTCTCGCCAGCCCCCTCCCATTGTACAGTCCGGAAGACTGAGGCTCAGAGAGGGGAAGGAAGAGGGAGCCCATGTGACACCTTTGTGTGGATTAGAAAAGGTGCCCTTATGAAGGGGATAAATTATAAAAAGGTGGTCCCCCTGTGGTGGGTGAACACAGCTTGGTAGGCAGACAACTGCACAAAGACGGGTGATTAGATTGTTTTACATGCTTGATGTCCCCACAGTTTCAACTCTGCTCCACACCCCATGGCCCTCAGAGCACAGTAGATGCTCAGAAAACACTGAACACATAAATTAGGTGTAAAACCCAAGGATCCTGGGAGCCCCTCACTCACTGGCACCTCCCAGGGCTGCACAGCGCCCCCTGCCGCCTGCAGAAAACATGGGCTGTCATAGCTGGACTCTGCTGCTTGGGCCAGCAGGTCCCAGCGCCAGACTGCCCCGTTCCCCAGGTCCCACGTGGGGTCAGCTGGGTCCAGGATCACGGGCCTGCAAATCCAGAGGGACAAGAAGATTCTGGTTAGCAAGATGGTCTGGTTAGCCGGGGCTCTAGAGTCGGGCCGACCTGGTTCCAATCTCAACTCTGCTACTTTCCAGCTGTGTGACCGGAGGCAGATGACTAACTTCTCTGAGCCTCGGTTTCCTCATTTTCAAAATGGAGATAACAGCAAGGCCTGATCTGATGGACTGTGTGGAGATTAACTGAGAGCAACAAGCCTCACCTGCACGTTAGAATCACAAGATACCGGGATCCAGCCCCGGTGTCCCTGAGTTACACCCCATGACTTAGCAATTTCATTCCGGGATAGAAGTCTGACACATATGTGTACACCGTGAAATGCAAGCCCGTGTGTCTCAGCCCTCTTTGTAATAGCCCCCGAGTGGAAATGACCCAAATAGGATCAGGAGCAGCATGGAAAGCATATTGTGATAAACTCACACAGTGAGAGACTACTCAGCAGTGGAGGCAAAGGAGCCACAACTATACGCAACAGTGTGGGTGAATCTCAAAGACTTAACTCTGAGAGAGAGAGGCAGGCACAAAAGGCCATGCTGCATTCCATTCATTTATTATTATTATTATTTTTAATCCTCTCCTGAGGACATTTTTTCCATTGTTTTTCAGAGAGAGAGAGAGAGAGAGAGAGAAACATTGTGAGAGAGACTCATTGATTGGCTGCCTCCAGAATGAGCCCCGACTGGGCTGGTGATCAATCCTGCACCCGAGGAATGTGCCCTTGGCTGGAATTGAACCTGGGACCCTTCAGTCCGTGGGCTGACACTCCAACCACCGAGCCAACTGGCCAGGGCAGACGGGGCTTTCTCCATCATTGCTAATGATCTCCCCGTGCCCCAGGCACAGGAGAGCGGGTGACGGGCACTGGGAGGTACCTGGGTCTCTGGCACTGGCGCTGCAAGAACTTCTTTATGGCGGGGTCCTTGAAGCTGTAGTTGATGGTCCAGAAAACACACAGGTGCTGATACTGCTGGATCAGGCCCAGGACGGTCCGGAGGCCTTGGGCCAGGCTGAAGGCATTTTTCCCACAGCCCCGCTCCCAGGCGAAGATGGTCAGCAGCTCCAGGGCGTAGGCTGGGGGCACCTCCTTACTCCCTGCCTGTGGGCACGCCTGTGAGGACGGGGCAGGGGCTCAGAGGGACGAAGCGGAGGGGGAAGCTAGTTCTCTGGAGACTTTTGCTGGATCACTCAGTCTCCCAGGTGGGCACCTGCAGGCTGGGCCTGGGAACAGATGCTATGGTCCAAGCCTGTTCCCAAAGCAGCCTGGTGCTTCCCATCCGCCCGCACCGCTGGGGCTTCAGCAGGGCAGTTGGCTCATGTTGTGGGGTGGGGGAGGGAGAGGTATGAGATTCAAGCCTTTAGGAGGGGGCAGCAGAGAGAGGCCAGCGGGGAGGCTGATACTGTTCTTCCCCAAAGTAAAAGCACAGCGAGTCCATAGCTGAGCAAGAATTGGCATCCAGGATCTCCTCACTCCACACCTGCTTTAGGATGAGTGGTCCAACAGAAGGACCAAGCCATGTGCCTTAAACTTTGGGGCAGCCTGTTCCCTCTTGTCCAAATCACAGGCTGGGCACCTCCTCCCTAACACACAAAGGTCTATCAACACAAAATATTCAAGATAGTTTCAAAGCCCTCAATATGAAAAGAAAGTCTCAAAACCTTTTGGGAGACTAATTTTAGAAAGTTAGAATAGGCAAAGGCTTCTTAAATAAGACACAGAAAGCACACATCACAGAAGAAAAAGATGAACACAACTGATTACATTAAAATACAAACATTTTCTGAGACAAAAGACCTATAAACAAAGTGAAAGTAAAAGTCACAGGTGGGGAGAGTGGACTCGCATTGTGCTAACTAAATAAAAAAATCAGCACCCACAATATATAAAGAGCTCCAAGCAATAAACAACAATAAGGCCGCTAACCCAGTAGAAAATAATGGGAAAGTTATATGAATAGACAGTTCCCAGAAAGAGAAACATGAATGGCTGCTAAACATAAGGAAACAGCCTCACTATCATGGAGGCACGAATTCCAACAGTCCCATGCGCGGAGCGAGGGCCCTCGCTAGTGGCCTCACCTCGCGGTACCACTGCTTCACCAGCAGGATCAGGCTCTTCAGCTTGGCCGGCTGGGTGTTCACGAAGCTCCTCCGCAGCTCCGTGAAGCAGGCCGCGTGCTCGCCCCCCTGGCAGCCGCTGCTGAGGAGGGTGGCGTAGACCTGGGGCTCAGGTTTGGCATTGGAACTGAGCTGCCCTGTGGACGGGAAGGCCTGTGAGTGAGGAAGGGGGCTGGAGGCCGGGGATGGAGGGCAGTGTTGGGGCTGAGCTCAGCTTGGGGCGCTGGGAGAGAGTGAGGGGGATTTGGGGAGGGGTACGCCTACATGGGCCCTGGAGAATGACGAAGAGAGCCCGGAGCTTCTCAGGAGGCAGGGAGGGAATCTGGGGACCAGAAGGGAGGGTCCTTTGTCCCAAATGGCCAGGCAGCCCCCAGCGGTTGGCAGGAGAAGCGCAGCCTCGTTCCCAGCTTAAACAGGACTGACGCTTCCAGCTGAGTCAGACCTATAACCTGGCAATTCTTCCCTCCCCGAGGCTCCCCTCAGGCCATACTAAAATTCCACCTCGCACACCTTTAATTAATCGGTGCCCTGAGAAGAGGCAATGATGCCAGAGAAATATTAGGCAAGAGGTTCTGATTCCTTAGCAGTAATTGCTGGTATTTTTTGAGCACTTACGACACGCCAGGAGCTGCGCTGAAAGTTTTACATGAATCTCCTCATTGTATCCCCACTAAAACCCTACACTTCTCCACCTCCTTTTATAGCTGTGGAAACTGAGGCACAAAGGCATTCAGCGCTCTGCCTCAGGCGATGCAGCTGGGGACAGGATCAGAATGCAGAGCCGGCTGACTTGACAGTGTGTGCCCCTGTCTCCTGGGCTTAGCTAAGGAAAGGTAAACACTTCCCATAGCTTCCCAGGTTCCTGACATCACTCACTTGCTGTGTGACTTTGGGCGAGTTACTGTATATCTCTGTGCCTCAGCATCCCTATTGGCAAAGTAGGAGATAAGACTGTGCAGACCTCACAGATTTGCTTTGAGGAGTTCATGAAATAAAACATGTTGAGTGCTTGGAATAGTTAAGCATTTAATAAGAAGTAGCTAATATGATTAATAACAGGGTGGGTATATAGGTGTGGGAGAGCATGGCTGTCCGCCAGGACTTCATAACCCTGGATAAACTCAAGATAGCTATCTCCCAGAGCATTGTATGAAAATGATAGTAATAATAATAATAGAAAAATAATAATACTAGAAATAAGAATAGCAAGCTCTCATATAGCCCTATCACGTGCCAGGCACTGTTCTAAGTTCATTACACATATTAACGCATACAGTTTTTCCAGAACAAACTACTATTGTCCTATAATTATTGTCTGCATTTTATAGATGCAGACACAGAAGCATATTACTGTATGAAATCAAGCATGGGTATATTACAAAGGAGAGTGCAAAAACCACATTGCTGCTTTTAAGATAAAATAGGAGATTTTGGAGAATTCTGGCCTTGTCCCCAGACCCCCGCTGCTGGGCACATGGCCATCTGCCTTCTCCTCTGGGGCAGCTATGGGAGGGCTGAGCTGCACCGCACTAGGCAGTGGTTGAAGGCAATTCTCCCCAGGTGTCTGAGCAAGAGCCAAGCATCTTAACTCCAGGACCAGAGATCCGGGAGGAACTGGGCCCTCTCGGCCTTTGTCTGGTCCAAACCCATATTGTTTAGTCAAGAAACTGAAGCCCAGAGAGGGTGGCCCAGGTCACACAGCAAGTCGGTGGCAGGACTTGAACTGTTAGTCCTGATTTACTCCTTATGATCTTGTCCCAACCCTGGAATGGGCCAAGCCCCCCTCACCCAGAGCGTCAAAGGCGGGCACCAAGCTAACATCCATCCAGTTTTCAGAGTCGGTGGGTGCCAGTTGGAACTGGAGGACCCCGGGCATGTCCTGTTTAAGAAACTTGAGGCTCAGACCAGGGATAGGGTTCTGCCACCAGGATTCCAGCAGTGCCCTCATCTCCTTGAGGATCTCAGGACGCTTAGCCCGCTGGTCCTCATAGCCCTTGAAGCAGTCGAGGAAGACGGCAAGTTCAGAATCACAGTCATCCCTCAGAGCTGTGCCCCGGCCGAAGGAGCCTCCCTATGAAGGAAGAAAACAAACTTAGAACCCTGCACTCTCCAATTCTCGTGCCCACATGGGCTGCAGGCAACGCGAGTGAGGCAAGTGGGCAGGGTGGGGACTGCCGCCACATAGCTCCTGGCATTCAAAGCCACGCAGGAATGCGGGCCAAGGGCAGCCAGGCCTGAGTTTTCAATGAAAGCAATTTTTATATGTAAACCCATGATTTCTAAATGTTGGCAATTAACTATTTNGGGCCAAGGGCAGCCAGGCCTGAGTTTTCAATGAAAGCAATTTTTATATGTAAATCCATGATTTCTAAATGTTGGCAATTAACTATTTAAAAAAAAAAAAGGAAACATTAGGTGAAACAAATTCTAGTTTTCTGAACACATGTTGGCAACCTTTGCCTGGGATCAGTACAGAGCAGTTGCATAATTGGCTGAATTTCTGAGACCTTTCTGACCAGTGTTTCTTTCTGCAAAGCTGCCAGCCCGAGGATTTGGGAAGACAATGCATTTTATTAGTCTCTGCTCTGTGCCTGGTACTGTCACATGTCTGACACCACAAGAGCCCTGATGTGGTTACATATGGTGACAGATAGAGGGTGAGGCTCAGAGCAGGGAAGTGAGTAACACTACGAGCAGTGACATAAGGGATACGGCCGGTAAGAGGCAAGAAGCGGGATGAGCCGTCTGCGGGCCTCTCCCCGCCCAGCTGGGATCGCTGCCTGCCCCAGCGGGAGCCATTTCATCTCCTGGCACAGGGGCGGAGCGCACAGGAACATCAGGCTGAGCCTTTCTGTCAGGTTTTGCACACAATCATCTCATTTAACCTTCCTAACAAGCCCGGAGGGAGGGACTATGAACGCTCTGCCGCTTTCTCCCCATCCCCGAGCCAGGAGAGTCAGCGCCACGACTTGAACCCAGAGAGTCAGGCTCCAAACCCACATTCTCCCCCCACCCCAGTCAATTAATTCGCTTAAAAATAGTTTTATTGCCTGGCCGGTGTGGCTCAGTGCATCGTCCCAGGCACCCAGAGCTCACTTACAGGTTCGAACCCTGATCAGGGCGCATGCCGGGGCTGCAGGCTCAATCCCCAGTAGGGGGCGTGCAGGAGGCAGCCAACTGATGTTTCTCTCTCCTCGATGTTTTTCTCTCTCTCCCTCTCCCTCCCTCTCTCTCTAAAATCATAGTTTAAAAAATTTAAAAAAATATATTTTTATTATGAGAGTATCCAAACCTGCACAAAAGAGGAGAGGATTTTAAAGAAGTCCTTTGCCATACTTGCTCATGTGGTGGAGCCCTTTTCCCCCTCTTTACGTGATTTTTTTGAAAGAAATTCCAGCCCATGTGTCATTTCACCCACGTACATTTTCATGGGCATCTCTGCAGGGGTGATCCCCGACGGCGAGAGACTGTGCCTCAAGTGACCTGAAGACGGGAAGCTCAATTCAACAGGCCAAGGATGCCAGAGCTTTAGAGCCCTTAAACTCCTGTCCTGCAGAAACCCTCCCGCCCATCTCGAAGGCACAACTCTGCCCCCAGGGTCCTAGGCCGCACGTCTCCCCTCCTTTCCTGTCTCTCCAACTAAGATTCAGCCCCGTCTCCCAGTCTGTTTTCATCTCTCCCCCTGATAAACTCCAGGTCCCCCTCTATCCCACCCAGGTTTCCTGGGTCCACTCCAGCACCCCCCCCCCCAGGGGGCAGTTTACCTTCAAGAGACAGTAGCTGACACTTGTCTCCTCCCTGAGTCTGGGGGTGTCACGTGTCAGGATGACAAAAAGCCACCAGCCCTGAGCGGCACAGACCCAGGAATCAGACTACCTGGCTTTGAACCCTGACTGGACTTCTCACGGGCTTGGGTAGTTACTGGGGCTCCCTGTGCCTCAGTTTCCCCATCTGTCAAGGAGGGTGTAAACGAGTCCCCCCCTAGCAGAGGTGTTGTGAGCAGTAGTCTCTTCTCAGGGCGTTTTGACAGGCCCCGGAGCCTAGTAGGTGAGCCACACAAATGTTAAAGATAATGAATGAAAGGCCTGCGAAAGCCCCTGCCCGGCTCCATCTCCATGCGCCCAGCGTCCTCTGGGGACCGCAC